TATACAAATAAGAAAGTTTCATTTTAAAATATTATAAGGCATTTAGAATAAATAAGTCACTCTAAATGAGCAGTATCGCAATATTATTGGATGGGATACTAAAATCCTAATATATTATAAATTGTTATACAAATATTTTAAATAAATATAATCTTTTTAGAAAATAGTAAAATGAAAATATTAACTACAAATATAATATCAAAATTAAAAATAATTAAAAATCTTTCAAATTATAATTAAAAAATATAATAAACATAAAATTATATAACTATATATTTATCATATATAAATATAACATAAAAAGGCTCTAACTACCACATTATCCATATCCTAACCTATTTTGTAAGTAAAGATCTCTTCCAAAAATGGAGAACTTTGGATACTTATTAAGTAGGACATGATTATTGTCATTATCAATACTTATTAAGTAAACATATTATCCAAGAATTAAAACCTTTAAATTAACTGAACAGCACATCTCAATAACGTACTTTGTGATTTATTATGTTTTTCAGTAACTTTCTATACCTATTATTCTTTATTCCCCCTTTTCTTTCTTAGTACACAATCATGTATTAGTTAAATATTTGATTCATTTTTTTAAATATAATTGATGATAAGTACTGGTAATAGGTTAATTTTAACAGTTATATATGTGAATGGTATGTGCCAAAAAAATTGTTGATGTGTATATATATATGCATACTACGTGTCAATAATTGCATTGTTTGTAAGTTGCTGCATGAAATTGAACAAAGTGGAAAGTGAAGAAGCAGAGAGAGTGTTAAGCACGTTGATTGCAGTTTCCATAATAAGGACCATACGGATTGAACCCATGGCTATAACTTTCAATGGATGCACATTAATTAATTTTCTTCTTTTGTCAATTTTCTTCTACCTAAATTCTACAGCTTTATTATTATTTTTTTATTCAAAAAACACTAGCCAAAACCTTTAATTGCCTCCAACAAAAATTTATTGATTCAAACTTTTAAAAATATTTTATATCATAAATTCGTAAACAATGATAATAATTTAAAGATTTACAGTAAAAAAATTAACAAAAAGACTAAATTTGTTTAATTCTAAAATCAAAAGTATTTAACTAACAAATAAAAATGAGAACCAAAATCGAATACAATCTAAATTAGAAAAAATAAAGATATAATTAATCTAGAGTCTTAAACATTTTTTTAATTTTTTACCATGTACTGATGACTATCTAATAAATAAAACTATACATTATCAATGAACATTGTGAGTGTTCATAGAAAAACATAAGCAGGTGCAGTCATAATTGGAGGCAATGGCTGGCAAGGGTCATGTCCACGTGCCACCATGTGTATCACAAAGTGTTTGCAATTATGCAGTGCCTCAATCTCAATCCATTAACCCACGTGTGATAATGTTCAGCTTGGGTTATTGCATCAATGTTAAAAGTTAATGTGAATTCTACAGATTTTATTACTTCTGATGAGCTTGATTGTATGTTGTATTTTACTTTGCTTTTATATAACAATTTGTACAAATGGATTAAAAAAACAACATAAAGTATGTGATAAATGTCAAAAGTATTCATGCAAACATTTCAATTTTATTGTCATTTACATTGATTCTTTTTTGATAGTGGGTTTAGATGGTGTTAACACTAAAATGTGTTGAATTGGATCAACTTATAAGGGGTTAGCTGATAAGTGATCGTTGAATGAAAAATAGTTGAGTTGAGTGAAATTAATTACGAAAGATTCATGTTATCAATTTTATTTAATATGATATAATTTAATTGTTCTTATCGTTGAATTATTATGAGCTATATTAATAAGATAAATCAGACTTGGAACCTATTTTTTCTTTTTACCTTAGACTTTTAATAAGCTAAACTTGATAGCTTTTGTAATCGATTCCTCTAAAAATACAATGTTATTTCTAATATATATTAATTTTTACACAAAATTTTTAAAAAATATTCATTTTTAATGTATAATTACGAAAATTTAATGAAATAATTTATTTAATATTTAGAAGATTATATAAGTTATGTAATAAGTAAAGTTTTAATTTATATTTTAATTATGTGCAGTAGTATGCAATATTTAATTTCAGACAATTAGATGCATAAAATAAAGCAAGATGAGTAAAAATTGTTTAAATTAAAATATTAAAATACAACTATCATGTATACTTATAATTAAGATATGCATTAATTTTGATTTACATCAGTAAGGGCGTCAAATAATTTTAAATTACTTTAATTTTTTTTTCCAAATATATTATATATTTTGAATTAGCAAAAGAAAGAAAAGTAGATTATTGCAAAACCAATTATATGTATAATTGGTTATTATGATGATTTATTGTATAATTTAAGTTTTATGTTTAGATAAGTTAAGTGGAAGGTAATTTTAAAATGATATATTATATTTAGACTGTATGAAACAGTTACTTTTTTAGGTTGAAATTATGTAAAAACGATATAAAATTGTGTAACAGTTAGATTTGTAGTTAAATTCATTAATTATTAAAGATAAAATAAAAATAAAATTTAACTAGAAAATAAGTTGATAACTTTTAATTATTTATATAAAAAAATTTCTTATATCAAATACATTATTTTTTTGAAAAAAATTAATCAAATATTATAAATTAATTTTTTAAATAGTCTAAATAAATATGAACGGTGTTTCTATTTAAATATATTTTTACTATAATTATATCCAAACACACAAATAATCTATATTGAAGAAAATAAGTTACATACTCTTACGCCCTAAATAATTTTATATAAAATATAAATTTCATTAATTCAACTGTTAAATTATAATTATATATTAAAATAATTATTTATATTAAATATTTTTAAATTAGACAAATAAATAAATAAAAACTTTATTAAATTTTTAAATTTAATTTTTTTAAAATTAAAAAATATAATAATTAAAATGTAGAGGATAAAATATAAAATAATTAATGAAATAGAAAAACAATAATGTAGACTACAAGCTTCCAAGCTATAAATTAATGAAATAATGTTGCCGATTCTTCACGAAAACAAATAAAATAAGTTTGTTTATCATACAAAGTTAATTTGATTTAAAAAAATTATAAGTTAGAGTTAATTCGTAATGCAGATTTGATACTTAATTTATTTAGTAGTTTATAGTTTATTATTTTATTAACAGTTTCGTATGTAAATAAAAAAATAAAATAAAATAATAATTTTTGAAAGATAATTTATGAAAAAATTACTTTAAGTGATATTTATTTTATTAGAGGATAGATTTTACTATTTATTTATTTTTTTATTAAAATAATTTACACTCTCACAAAACAATTGTAATGCCTTTTTATTAATTAGTTAATATATTTGAACTAATTATTAAGGAGACTAATGTTTTAGCCTAAAGCAAATTTAAAATAGACCTATTTTAAATTAAAAAAAATAATATATTGAAATTATTATATAATTTATTTGAAATTATTTTTATACATTTTTAAAATATAAAATTATTTACCAAATTATTGTAATTAATTTAATTTAATTTTAATTAATATTAAAGTCAATCTATTTTTTATTTTAATATAATCATTTTTATTATAAATAACAAAATATTATAGAATTTAATGTATTTTTAACATTAAATAATATAATTTTTAATAACAAATATATTTTATTAATTTTTTAATATATATCTGACCCATGTTAAAAAAATAATAAAATTAAAAATAATAAATAATGAGATAAATAACATAATTACTGATTAAGAAAATAATGAGCTACAATAAGATGATAAGTTTAATTTTACTTAAAAATATTATTCTTAATGTTATTTGTATACTAATTAATAATATTAATTTTAAATAAAATATTTTAATTAATATTTTTAGAGACCTCTTTTATCTATAATTTTTGAGAGACCTCAACCCCGGACATTAGGAGTCTTGTGCCTAACTCGATCCTACTAATTGTATAAAATATCTCTAATTCAATCTACAAAAAAATTATAAAATTTTATTTAGTTTATAAATTATAAATTTTAAACTAATTTTAGAAATAGAATTTTATTTAAAATAAATTTTTAATACATATTTAAAAACATACAACAAAATTTTATTTATAGCAATTTTTATTAAAAATTATAATATATTACAAATACAATGTATTACTAGTATTAGATATTAAAAGTTTTAATCAAAACTTTCTCAAGTTAATTTTTTATTATATATTATTATTAAGCACACTTAAAAAAATCAGTCAATTAAGCTATATCTTAACTCAACATGAAGCGAGGATTTGGCTGCATCGACATTTATGTTTTAATGTATATAAATAATTTAAAAAAAATCAAATTTTCATTATTCAGAGTCTTGAATTTTCGTTTAGTCTTTAGAATTTTAGAAAAAAAATTAACCATTTCTCTTTGATTGTTTAGCATTTTTTAAAAATTATAAACAACATTTTTGGGTCAAATCCCTCCAACGCCCCTCACAGTGTCGGTGTTAAACACGAGCCAAGCGAAAGCGCGTATGAATGGCCCCACCATATACCATCATACTCAATTAAATCCCTTGACTCGGGAGCCGGTTGCACGCGCTGATGTTGCGAGTGGTAGTAGCATTGCCGGCACTAACAACAGTGCTTAGTACTGTGACTACATTTTCTAACAATAAAAACGAAACGAAAGAGGTTTCCACGAACATTGCATACTTGCATAGCAATAATAACATAACATTATATATTATTTATTTATCCCATAAACAAAAAAAAATATTTTTACTTATGTTTAAAGGTAGACAAATTTTTTTATATAAAATAAATTTTTACTACAAATCATATAATGTCACTTAGTTCAACAGGTTTTATAATGTTAAATATTATATTTTTTAAATAAAAATTTATTATTTACCAATTTCTTATTATATATTTTTGAGTACGCGTTAAGAAAAAACAAGAAAAGAACAGAAACATAAGCATAAAAGATAACAACAATAACGACAACGTGAGTGGGAGTAACGGATAGAGTTTCGATTGCAGTTTCAAAAAAATTCATAGCATAGCATTCATTCATTTTCTCTTGTTCTTAAACAAACCCAAAGTTTATTTCTTTTATCCCTGTTAGTTTTCAAGTTCCCTTTTTTGGGTTCTGTCTATAATCTATATTAAGCCCCGTTTGTCAGAAGTTGCATTCTTAGAATTTAGTTTATAGTCATTTCTCTCTCTCTAAAGCTCTAGAGAGAGAGAGAGAGAGAGAGAGAGAGAGAGTGCATAGGGTGGCTTGATGATGAATGGTGATGGAATGATTGATCTCTCGCCCTCTTTGTTTGACTTTTGATTCATGTTTCCATCCAATTTCCCCTTTCTTTCCTTTCAACTTCTTTCTCGTGTGTGTTTTCTGTTCTTTATTTTTTGGTTCGTCCGTTCAATTCAAGGCTTGTTCTTCTGATTTTTCCCAATTCTCAAACTTGCAACTATTGAAAATCTTTTTGAGTTATTGGATCGTCCATGGATGAATTGTGGCATCAAGTTTGTGTACATTTTTATTTTATTGTACACTTCGATTGAGCTGGATTTGTGGTTTTTGCTTTGTGTGCTGAACAATTAAGATTTGTGTGTTGTATGATTATGGGTTGTGCTAATTCCAAGCAAAAGGGATGTGAACATTGTCATTGTAACAACCCTTATTCATCTGTACCAAGAAGCTACTCAGTACATGTGCATCACCCACCTCAAAGCAAAGGAGATAGTTACCATGTTGTGGCACTGACATCAACCACATTAGGTTCTTTGGACCAGGTATCCGACAACAACCATGGCAATGGTTTAAGGTTTTCCAATGGCAAGGTCATTGACAGTGACAATTTCAGGACACAGAACAAGGAGGATGAGGTGAATGAGGGAAAGACATGGTCTCATATGATTGATCAAATGTTGCCAAAAGCTATCTCCAAGACTCCAATCATAACACCACCCTGTGAGCCAGAGACTATCAACACATGGGAACTAATGGAAGGACTTGAAGACACAAGCCCTTTTAGATCACCAAAACATTTCAAGAGCTTCTCTTTTGATGTCAGTGTGAATGGCCATGTTGATCAAACCAAGCCTCGGTTCATGGAGAATCACACTGATTCATCCAAACCCATGTGGCCTAAGATGACTGAGGAAGGATCAAGAGATGATCATCAAGTGTTTGTTTCTTCATTTCAGAGATCACTGCAAGAGAAGCAGAAGAGCATGGCTATAAAAAGGTTCTCTTTTGATGAACAGAAAATAAGTGGTGATGTTGTCGTGGATTTGAAGCCTGACCCATGTGTGAAAGACAAGGTTGTGTTATATTTCACTAGCTTGCGTGGGGTGAGGAAGACTTATGAGGATTGTTGCCATGTGAGGCTAATTCTGAAAGGATTGGGAGTGAGGGTTGATGAGAGAGACGTGTCAATGCATTCAGGGTTCAAGGAGGAGCTCAAGGAGCTATTGGGTCATGGATATGGTAACGGAGCATTGCCAAGGGTGTTTCTTGGAAGGACCTACATTGGTGGAGCTGAGGACATTCAGCAACTTCATGAGGAGGGGAAACTTGAGAAATTGCTTGATTGTTGTGAAAAGATTAATAACAATGATGGAGTAGATGGTCGAGTGTGTGAGGCATGTGGAGATGTAAGGTTTGTGCCTTGTGAAACCTGTTATGGAAGTTGTAAAATCTACTATGAAGGCGACGAAGAACAAGAAGATGTAGAAGAATATGGTGAGGTTGGTGAGTGTGGATTCCAACGTTGCCCTGATTGCAATGAAAATGGACTAATTCGTTGTCCCTTGTGCTGCTACTAGCTTACTCTTTCATGGTGACATTTAATTTAACACAGGTACTTAAACCAATTTTTGAGTTGTGTCTCTTCTGGGTATGTTGTTTATAGTCAGATTTTGTTTGTACAGTGAAGTTTTGGTGTGATTGATTATATTAGAGAAGAGGAAGGAGATATAAGAGTGAATAAGGTGTTCTAATCAGTCCCTTTTGCACAACCTGTGCAATTTACTGCATAGTGTATACTTTTCATTTTCCTTTTTCAGAAAACAAAAAGGCTTGTATACAATTTCCTTTCTTGCAAAAGAAATGCAGAAAAGGGTATAGTGGCATTTACATTCTTTCACTTCTTAATGTGTTATTCTCCCTTGGATAATTTCAAATTTTTAATTCTGCAGTGATCATAGGCCTGGTTGAGTTTAACCTACCCAGAACCAATGAAACAATAGACAATGGTGATGATGTTTGTGCTCAATGCAACTACCATGCTTGTCAATCTTTTTAGCTAACAAATATTGGCCTCAATTGAAGACAAGATCAATAGCTGTTAGGACACAGATTTTATATTGGATTAAAATTTATTTCTTGGTATCAGACGAATAAATCTTGCCCATTTTGTTTATTTGTTGAATTTGTTGAGTAATTTTATTGATTCTCAGCACTATCAACTTCATATATTTGTTTTGAAATGATCAATGTATACAGAACCGTACCACATTTTCATTTTTACTAACAAACTTAGGTTAATTAATGGCTCAGAAAATCTATTTCTGACCTTGTGACTTACTCAAATTCTATTTTCTTTGGACTCGAGGAATCCGTGACTTCTATAATTTCAACCAAATGCACAATTTGTTCTGGAACAAACACACAACCGTTCAATCAAAATCACAAATATTTTTCAACTTAAAGAAGTTTCAATATGAAGCGGCTTTAATTAGTTATTTATTATTTAATTAAGATGTGCCTGTTTCTTTTATGGTTGTCCTCAACCATTTACGCTTTTATGTTATTGCAATTTGAACCAATTGCATTGAATTTCTTATCTTACAAGCAAGAAAAAGACCCTTTCATAGGCTGATGCACATAAACACGGGAGGCAAGCAAACTCACCAATTTTGACTTCAAGTACCTACCAACACACGATATTGATACCCTTTCAAAGGTGCATTTGAAATTTGTAAAGAAATTTTTTGATTATTTGTTATAATTCTGATTTATAGACATACTAATAATATTATCACACATTTAACATTCTTATCTCTTTTTTTTTTTATTATATTACTCACTATATTTATTCCCTCTCTCTCTCTTTCTTCTTATCTTTCAAGTGCCGGCACTTTAAAAGGGAGTTTATAAAATATTTATTTTTCTTTTGTTATAATCATTACATGGCGGTGCCGCACTTAATTATGTGAAATTACTTATTAATTCATGTAATTTAAAATTAGAATTCTATGTGGTGCCATTTACAAAAGGATGTAACACTAAAGGAACACGTAATGATACAAACAACTTGTGCCAAATAAGCGAAACTTTTTCTGTACATACTTAACTCCCTTTCTAATCATTTTCATGTGTTTATGTAGAAAATGGGGCCTCTAGAGACAACAAAATCCCAGTAGGCTATAAGTCTCTTTTTCATAGCCATCCTATCAAAATCATAATATGTTTTGGAGTAAGTGGTAGATGAAACTCAACATGTAGTAATGAATGAAGTGCCAATTGGATGTTTATGTCAAGGATAAAGTTAATACATAAAGATTAATGTCTGAAAATTCATCAATAAGTAAGAAAGAACATTAAATTTTAGTATAATCTTTTTACATTAGTGTAAGTTTAAAAATTCTTATAATAAATTTGAATTTTTTATTTAATTTACATTTAATGGGTCATACTTTATTATTTTCTTAACTGTTAGGTATAAGTTAAATAAAAAATTCAGATTAGATGTAAGAATTTTTAGGCTTACATTAGTATAAAAAAATCTTTTTTTTTAAACTTTAAAAACTGATATGCGTTATACAGATTTACTTTATTCAAAATATAAAATATAATATAACAGTTAGAAAAATATAAAATATGACAAGTTATTTTGATATTTATATTTAATGTAAAAAGATACATAGTTTAAATATTAATCATTAGTTATTAAAATATTAACACTTATATAAAACAAAGTGTAGCAAAGAGGGTCTTAAATTATGAGTTAATTTGGACAAAGTATACAAATACTTTTAATTCACAATTTTTCTTTCAAAAAGGTTTCACCTATGATAACCTTTGGGGGAGTGGTCTACTTTGAAGGTTTAGCAGTGGAGGAATACAGCAGAGATTACTATATAAAATAAAATAATTAGTCAGCTTTATGTTGAGAAAAGAATTCATGCCTTCTTGACATGTTACCCCATGGAAAAGGCTCTTTGCAAAGGCTGTTTCTGATCCGTATATGAGAGAGAAACCAACCACTACACGGCTTTGTCAGTAAACAAAAGGGTTGCAACTGGCATGCTGTTGTAGAGAAACATGAGGGGATCCATACCACCCATCTATCAAACCAAGCTTGTAAGGCCAACTTGACCCAAAAAAATGTGTGGAAAATGGGTAATATAGATGTATACACCTGGTTAGGGATACAAAGAGAAATTTTTTTTTTTAATGAATTATGTGATGTCACAAGAAGCAATGAGTAAAACAAGAAGTTATTTTAGTTTGAATAATAGTCTCAAATTTGAGTCCTGCATTAAATATTCGGATGAAAAATTTTACTGTCCATAATAGTGATGTACTCATGTAAAGGATACTTATGTTTTAAAGGGAAACAGAAACAGATAAAAATATCATACAAGTATATAAAAGTAAACAAAAAAAGGCGTATAAAATTGACTTTTAAGAGGAAAATTTGCACAAATATAGGTAAATATACTTAAGTTATTATACTCATATAACATTTTAAATAAATCTTTCTCTTCATCTCTCTATCACAGTACTCTATTGTTTTATATTTCTTTCTCTACTCAATCTTTCTTTTAATTATAATAAATATTGTAAAAACAGAGATAAGAGTAGAATTTCTATATATATTTTCCTATTGGCATGTATGAAGGGTGAAGACCAATGTGACAAAAAAAGCAAAGGACAGAGAAATAATGGAGAAGTGACGTGCAACTTGTTATTATGGCCCAAAGAAACAAGGCCGGCAATGGCAAAGCAATTGTTGGGTTGTAAAGAATAAAGATAGGTTCCCTCAGATGTCTTTAAACTGTAAAGCACAGCATTAAAATATCTTACAAGTAGTTGCCATGTTGATTCTAGAGTTTAGACTGTAAAATTATACTTTTGAAGCAACAATGTACTTCATGCATTGTTTTCTATAATTCTATAAACTATACTAATTGGATGGAAGTGTTTGCCATTCATTCCTTCATTCGTGATTTAATTATTGTTAACTTTCTTTTGTTACAAAAAAATTAGGAAAAGAAAATGGTATCCCAGTCAAAGACATAATAAAAGCCTCTAAATTATATATTGTAACAGTAGTAGTAATAATAATAATAATAAAAGTTGTTATATAATTAAATAATATAAGTTGGGCAAGCCTAAAACATTAACAATCTTACCTATAAATGAGTATAAATATGATGTAATATTTCAAAGATGTTATTTCTTTTTATCAAAATAAAAAACATTCAAAAGTCAAAACAAGGCAATATGGGCCATTTTTCATTAAAATGACATTCTAAATTAATTTCAATCTATTTTGTATCAGATTTTACTGATTTAATTTTGTGGACTATTTCCTTTTTGGGCTAATTTTTGGACCAGTTCTTCGGGTAGTCAGTTTCATGGGTCGAATGGATCGGACATGAAACTGATAACAAATTGGACAGTCCAACCCAGTTTATTTTTTGAGAGAGTTGACCATGATTATTATATACAATATTTTAAAAAAATACTTAACAGTTGTATTTATTATAATTTATATCAAAATAATTCTTACCAATTTAACATTTACATATTAGGTAATATAAAAAAATAATAATTGATGCAAAATGAAAAATAAATAAATAAAAATTGGTGACAAAAAAATGTACTTAAATATGAAATTAATTATATAAAAATGATATGTAGTATTCTAAAAATATTAGTTAAATAAATAAAAATAAAAATAATTAAAAATATTATTAACTTACTCTTCGCGTAAATTTTAATTCCCCTTAAGATAATTTCCATTAAAAAAACTATTTAATAATTCAATAGAGAGAATTCAAGCCACTTGATTATATTATATGATTTAAGCCAACCAATATGTATTTTTCTCAACCCGTGACTCTAGTCAATTTAGTGAACAGGCCATGTGTAAATCGTAATGCATTTAATCGCATTCAATAATTGACTTTAAAATTTAAACATCTATTTAATTAGATTTTGTATTAATATGTTGTATGGGTCTATAAAATATGTAATATTTTCATATTATTGATTATTAAAATATTATGAATATAATTTTTTATTTTTGTAAATTATATTTAATAAATATATTCCTAGAAATTATTATTAAAATATCAAATTATTAATTTGATATTTAAAAATTTCATTCGATATTAATTTAAGTATTTAAAAAATTATGATATCAAATAAGTCATTCAAAAAATTAAATTTGTTTATATTAATTAATAAATTAAAAAATATAATTTCTTTCATCCTATTTATAATATTTTTACTTTTCTTTCCACATATTTTTTTCTACGTAATTTTTTTTGTCACATCGTATTTGTATTAAATATTTATTTTTTATTTTTTCTCTTTTATCCTTGTAACTCTTGTGTATACATATCATAAGAATAATAATAAAAATATTATTTATTAAAAAATATAACTGTAAATTATTAATATAATATTTACTAATATAATATTTATCTTAAAAATTAATAAAAATTTTGAAAGATTATACTAACAAATAATGGTAACAATAAAAAAAATTTAATTACGCTAAGATTTTCTTTTAAGATAGAGTCTTGGAGAGGGCACAGCTAAAGTTGTGCTTGGGTTTCAAATCCTAAGCCTCTTTGGCTTGGGGAGAGCTTTACCTACATATATCATGGATCTGAGACAGAAGAGGTCTTCATTGCAAGGAGACTCAAGAGGTGTGGCTGAGGTTTTCTCTCTCGAGTTATCTTGCTAGGATTTTGTTGTCAAACTGTACTCTTGGAGGAAAAAGTGCCGCTTAGCTCTGTTAGGGTTCCTCCGCCCTCTAGCTCTGGCTTGAAGAGGGACGTCAGTCTCGATTTCCTTCAATCAAGCTACAGGGAACGACTTTTATCTCAGGCAGCTTGCTGTCTCACAAGCATGGACAAAATGGAGCACTCTGAAGCAGAGAAACAGTCCAACAAAGAGCAAGATCTGGTGGATCGGAGCAAGAAAAAAAGTCAAGATCAAGGCCAAGGTCATGACTGAGGATGTTCAAGCGACTAGACTAGTAGAGGAGTGTTCTGCTGATCTGCCAAAATGGTGTCTTCTTCCCATTATCATTTTCCTCTTACTTCATATAGAGATAAAGTTTTAGAATCTAGGGATTTTAACATGTCTCTTGATAATATTGATATTGTGCATGGAAGAACTTAATATCCCTCTTTCTAAAAATGATGATCAAGAAATAAACCCTAATAATTTTCAGGAAATTTGTCCAAAGCTTAGGGTTTCTTTATATGAT